GGCTTCTTCCTGCCCATCCGGGCCTTCGCAGAGAACCTGGGCACCATCCTGGTTTTTGCGGTGGTGGGGACGCTGTGGAACGCCTTCTTCATCGGCGGGATGATGTTCGCCGTGTGTCAGATCGAAGCAGCCCAGGTCGGCCATGTTGACCTGCTGTCTTGTCTGCTGTTCGGCTCCATCGTCTCGGCCGTGGACCCCGTGGCGGTGCTGGCCGTGTTTGAAGAAATCCACATCAACGAGCTGCTGCACATCCTGGTGTTTGGAGAGTCGCTTCTGAATGACGCTGTGACTGTGGTGAGCTGGAGGAGGGAGGATAACGTTTTCACTTAGCCTCGTAAACATTTTCAGGGAGCAGGGCTGGCCCTCACACACACACACACACCACCTCAACCACCACCAAAAAAAACATGTATGCAAGCTTCAACGCTGATGCATTGAATGTAAATTTTATAGTGCAATTTCTATAAAGGAAAACACAACAATTTAAATCAACATTAACTTTAAACTTTACATTAAAAAACATCCCATTAAAAAAATAAGAGCTTATTTAAAACAAAAAAACATGGATGAATGCAGGTCTCATAAATTACCTTTTTTAGAACACAAACAATTTATTTCACTGCTGGATTTTCTTTTTATATTTAAAAAATATAGCAGGACAAATCTTTTCTTCTTTTGGGGTCCTCCTCAGTCAAGGGCCCTTAGAATCTCCCTAACTTTCCCCCCCCATACGGTGCGCCTGTCAGGGAGTCTCAGAAATTCACAACAGATTCCTTATTTAGACCTTTTAATGTTAATGAGTCATTTATTAAACTAAGATATGAGAGGAACTTTGTTCGATTATTGTTGCAGGAAAAAATGGAAATGTGAAAAATATTTTAAGAGTAACTTTGCTTTCATCTCGGATTTTATTTTTTTTTATTTAGTTAAATCCTATTTTTTTTTCAAAGATTTTTGTGTTTTTTTAGTTGTTTTTTTTCCCAAATGTTATCTTTTCATATTTCTCTTTCAAACCTCATTCTTTTCAATTTGGGTTTTTCAAATCACACTCTCTTCACGTTAGAGGCGACCTTTCCTCTGAATGAGGGGTGAAGACGCGTTTCTATTGGTCTCCTCAGAGTTAGCTGCCACATTTTTATTTATTAGGGCCAGGCTAGAAATTTTATTTATTTATTTATTTTTTTTTGAGAATGAAGTTATAACATTACAAGAATGATGTCGTAACATTACAAGAATAAAGTCGTAAAATTCCGAAAATAGTCGTAACGTTACAAGAATAACGTCGTAACATTACGAAAATAGTTGTAATGTTACGAGAATTAAGTTGTAACATTCCGACAATAAAGTCGTAGCATTACGAAAATAGTCGTAACGTTACAAGAATAACGTCATAACATTACGAAAATAGTCGTAACGTTACGAGAATGAAGTCGTAACATTCCGAGAATGAAGTCGTAACATTCCGAGAATAAAGTCGTAACATTCCGAGAATAAAGTTGTAACATTCC